CATTATTTTTAATTAAAATTCAATTACATAACAAAAAATAGAGTGATGGATTCTTACGCGAATCAATGTCCGAACGCTAAATTTTCAACTGCGCCTACTGGCGGTCCCCGGGTTCCTTAAATTTTTCTTCGGAGATTAGAACACGCTCTAAGTACCTAGAAATACCTAAAAAAATCTAAAACTAGTATTGAAATCCTTTTTCAGCCAATTTCAGAATTCCAGCATCGCATCGACTCCCGTGGCGGCAGTTTGCCTCGGACTGGCCGTTTTCAGCCAGTTTTGATGAATTTCGGCCGATTTTGTACTCATCCATACGAGAGAATACATTAAAGGGACTCGGTTGACCGAAAAAAGTTAAAAAACAGAAGATTACCGGTGGTGGAGTTTTTTGGTGCGGCGGCTCGGACGACTCACAATCGTGGTTAAGTGTTTTTCTTCGGTCAACCTGTAAAAAGCAGAATAGTGAGTACAATGGTGGAAAGATCACATGAAATGGAAATCAGGAAGGGTCTCATCAGAGGCAGTTTTTGATTTCTTTCGCGGTGGCACTGTTGGGCTTTACTCACGATTTTTAGCTCATTCGCTGATTTTTTTGCTCAGATGCCATGTGGATGTTCAAAATCGAATTTTGAGCGAATAAAATTTTTTTTTACCTCTTTTGGCAGTCGGAGGTAACTCCAGAACGGTGGCAGGCGGCGGTCGGTTCCCTCTCCCGGCGACTGGTTCTTCTTCTCTGGCGGGGGACTGATGGCTAGGGTTAGGGTTCAATGTGAAGTGAGGTATTTATATCATTCTCCCTTTAATCTGGGCTGTCCACCGTATTTGATCTCAATCGTCCGATCGTATTTAAATAGAAAATGAATCTGGACCGTTCATCGCGATTTGATCTGGACCGTACAATCACACTTGAGGAGGAAGCGGATCCGGACCATCCATGCGCGCATAAATAAATCTGGACCGTTCGATCGTAGGCACGCGGATTGCCAGCGTGATCTCCTGCATGGCACCGCATCAGTGTGCCTTGCCACGCGACGCGCTCCGGTTCTTCGAAGCTGCTGACTAAGTGGTTCTATGTGGTACATTTTTCCTAAATTGTGTTTTGATATCTAATTTCTGATTTTTTTTTCAAAAACACTCATGTAACTTAAATTTTCACTCATTTTTTTCAAAATTCTTTTCAGTTTCATCATCTATTTATTTTTTTAAATTTTTACATTAAATAAAAATTTATAAATTAAAAAAATATATTTTATACATCAATTTTAAAATTAATTACGGGTATTAGAATGCAAGGGTGAAAATTGAAGAGTAGCATAAATAATGATTGGATTAAAATTGATTGGTTAATAACTTTTTTTTTTTTTTTTAAGAAATAGCAAAAGAAGGGCATGGCTAGAACTTGACTCTCATTTATGTGAAGTACAAAATATAATCATGATTAGTGTAGTGAAACAAGTTGTGTAAATTATCTTAAACTCATCACACGAAAATATTCTGGAGGGCTTAAATTTGGGGCCTTCTTTTCTAAAACCTAAACCATTATTATTATTATTATAAAACGCACTAATACCCTTCACAATTCACCAGTTCATTTCCATATCTTTAATTTCCCCAAAGTGGCTATTATACATTATCATTCAAAAAAGGGGTTTCAATCTTTTTTCATCGTTATATAAACTACTGTTTTATATGGAATTTCAGAGATTGAGAATTCTTAAGAATCTCTGCTTTCAGTTTCAAATAATTTAAATTATAAAGAAAAATTATTGTTTGTTTTCGTCAAAGAGAAAGCAAAAGAAGGGAAAAGGCATAAAGGTGGGTTGCCTTGACGTTTGCAAACTATTTGGTGCATTTCTGAGGAGGAGGTCACTACCTTTTGTAAGAATACCTTATGTAAGAATTTTAATTATTCTGATAATTATATTTATTAACATTAATATGAAAATTAAAATTATGATTTCTTTTGTCCATTTTATTTAATTTAATAAAATACATAATAAAAAAAAAAAACTTTGCTTAGTATAATTTGATATAAATTATTTGTTAACATATAAGGTTAATTCTTATGTTTCTTAATAAAATCTAAATCATATCTTATAATAAAATAAACGAGTAGAAAGATGTAAAAATAATATATACGTATATCTATGAGTTGAAATTTAACTATTCTGTTATAAGTAAGTTTTTTGAAAGCTATTTTTTATTACATTATAATTATTTCTTTAATGTATTAGTTTAGTGATTGTGTACAAAACTTATTTAAAAATTAAAATAATATTATAATATAATATGACTACAATTGGGTTGACGCTAATGGCAAAAGTGGAGATCTCCATAAGATTATAAAAGGTGCAGTGAAAGATTATGTCAACTTTAGCTTTAGCCATAGCCATAGCCATAGCCAGACTTAGATACACTTGGCTCCAACATGGTGGCTTGGGGCTTCGACAGAAAAATGTTGGGGGGTTAAATTAATGTTCACAAGTGCCCATAAATACCAAGTTTTTTAGACAGAGGAAAAGTACGTAATGAAGTAAGAATTAGAGGAAAGGTAGGCGGGGGCTCGAGTTGGGTAGAAGAAAAATGGACAACAAGGAGTAGTTAAAATTAGAAAGAAAAAAAAGGGAAATGAAGTTAGTGGATCTAAAAAGCAAGTAGTGTCATGATATTCAAAAAGATAATCCAATCCACTCAATATAAGTGGCCCTCCCTCACTCGACTCTCACTTCCTACTAATCAAAAGACAAAAGTGTAAATTTATTAGTTTCTTAATTGAACACATGCTTCTCTATTGCAACCCCTACTTATCTTGTTTGATTATGCTCTGAATCAAAATATTAGGTTATGTTTTTAATTCATTACGAGTTCTTCTCAATTAAAATAATAAAATAAATAAATTTAATTATCAGATAATATTTATTTTACTTAAAAATTATAATCCACTTGCTAAGATTTGACTTAACTAATTACAACAGTTTTTACTATTATTGTGTTAGCATCTTTTAAAGTAAAATATAATTTTTTTTTAATCACTAAATTATTGTGTTGTTAGTTTCCTAATTAAGTCATGTCGTTTAGCTTAAATTCTAATTTGATGTTTTTCTTTGCCGCAAATTATAAAAATAAGTCATAAGTTGACTTTATATCAACTTATACTAATTTAGTAAACAACTATTAAGCTGTGGGTTAGTAGTTATCTCTTCTCCTCTCTCTTGAGAGGATTAGGATTAAGTATTATAATTTGGTTTGAGCCATAAAATTAAAATAATTTGCTAAATATGTAAAACCTAGTCTGAATTTTTCTTTTTTTAATTCACAAAACTATAATTTACTTTTTAAATAAAATAAAGGGAAGAGTATAACACTGTGTTGTATTTTTTATTTTTATAGATTATCTCAATTAGCACCATGTACAGTAACACCCATGCTTTTATCACATACTAAATATGTGGTTAAAATTAATTCAAGATGAATATATGTATTAGAACATAAAAATTATAATTTATTTTAAGATTTGACAAAATGTGCATTTTATTTTTCAAGTCTCAGATAAAATTTAATTCAAATTAGACTTATTATTTTCTAATTTAAATGAGTGTCCATAATTCTATATGACTTGTAAATTTATTTCAAAAAATAACTTCAAAGGTTTTGAATGAAAAATGCGAAGATGTTTGAGAAATGATTATTTGCAGAGTAAATTACTATTCTACCCCGAAAGTAGTTCGTCACATGTTATACATGTGTATGTATATATATATTCACCTTCGTGTCGATGTTTAGTTTTTGATAAAATATCATTATCACATGTAAAAACAGAAGTAAAACATCGTGTGATGATAATACAGTCTTAATTCTAATTATTAAAAATAATATCGATATATTAAATATATTTGAGACATTCATAGATGTTCGGGAGGGAAATATTTCGAAATTTATACTTAGTTTGTTGAACTAGATTCAAATTTGTTCCAACTATAGTTTTCATCGGTTTAGCAAAGTCTGGAGAAAATACTAATTTGAATTAGAGATGGGGATGGAGCAAGTATCTATATCTTCACTCATTTTATTTTCACTCTTTTAAGTTTATAATTCTCTAATTCATATTTGAACGCTAATTGTTTATAAATTTTTGTCGGTATTATCCAGAGCGGATTAGTGGGTAATCTACCCATTTGTCAATGTCTAATTTGAATTTCTCTAAATGCATGTAGGTGAAGGGCAAGATGGTACAAATGAATTGGAACTTTCCACCCAGCTGAATCGAATTTTTTAATGGTGGAAAATTTTAAAGAAAGATAGTGAATGATCTATTTGTCCATTTCTTCCTTTCATATCTCAATCATAAGCAGCTGGTGCTATTTAAAGCGCAGAGGCAGAGACTTAACAATCCCCCAGTTTGCTTTTCAAAGACCCCAACTGGGTATCGCAAATATATGATAATTTCGGCCATGGCATGCTTGATCTGGGAAGAGTCAATCCATGGGTCTTGATGAAAGCAACTGGGGGAGGAGGAGGAGGAGGCTTGAAGAACTGATATGGAATCTTCATCGTCTTCTTCTCCCCAATATCATTACAGTTTGCGCGTGCTTGCTCGTTTTGCTTTTTGGCTGACTGCCATGTGCATAAAGAAGCATGAATCATAAGGTTGCTTGTTTATGCGAAGGGTATGACAGAGAGTGAAAGGTTAATGCATGCCAAACCGGCAAGTCACAGAACGGCGAATGGCTCCTTCATCAACTTATAGCTTATAATGGCTTTTATTTTTTCCTTTGTTTTCTTTTCTGTCTCTTTTTCCTTTTCTACTTTCTTTTGCATGGGAATGACCGTAATAAAAATGGTTTGTGTTTATATATTGTGTGTGTGTTTGCTGTATCAGCTTCTGCAAATCAAACGGATAATATTTCTATATAATCTCAACTCTCTCTCCAAGTCCTTAATTCAGAATTTTTTTTCATTTCTCTTTGTTGCAAGTAAATGGGACTCATTTTGTCTGTTGATTCATTTCATCAACTCGAAATGTATATATGCGTGTATTCATTCATGATTTGGAAAGAAAATACATCAGATTGCTTTCTTCACAAAAAGCCCATACGCTAATCAGGGAAGATTAAGAAATTTCCAAAAAAGAATAACAAATCATTATCTAAAATTTTAGGCTTCTATATGTACAATATGGTCGTGCTCAGTTTTGCCACGATCCTCTTCCGGCCTTCAGCAGTGAAGCATATAACAACTCGTTCCATGTATCTGGTACTCCCGGCAAGCACCAGTGGCTGCAATCTTGAAACTTCTCTGCAATTTTCCGTTCTTTTGTTGACTTGAAAGTTGATCTATAAATAGAAGGGTGACCATCTTTTCGGAAATCAGTCAGCCTACTTATGTTCATATATATAACTGGAGTCTTCATTTCTCGAAGAACGGGTTCCAGAGATCTCATTTTTGATGGGTATTTTGCTAGATATTTGACATTGAAGATTGGCTCAGTTTCGTTGTGGCACTGTCCTCCCGAGTTCCACGGACCCCCTCTGCAACCATGTTAAACTATTCATATCCTACTTTTATTTCAAAATCTCTCAATTCCAACAGCAAAGAAAACGTACTATGGCCCTTGGCTGACAACGAAAAAAAAAAAGAGAAGAAAAGAAGAACGAGGCATAACTTTTGCTGAGTCTACTGAGGTTTAGCTACATTGCAAACAACATTAGAGAACAGTTCATGTCAATGATATAAATATTCTTTTAACAAGGTGCATCAGACATTGAAAGAAGTGTTTTAGTCTCAAACATCGAACAACTTAAATCCAAGTAAGGGGATAATGAACCTATCACAAAATTTATTTACGAGCCTTTGCTCTTGCCCATCCCCGGAAGGATATGCATCTGGGCAGAAATCATTCTTATGGTGTCTGTTTTTAAGAAGAAAACTTTGCAAAAAAGAATAGATCTGAATATTCAAAGTTAATCAGGATCTTGTAGCATTGCTCATGAGAAAATTCGGGCAGTTTGTCTTGAAGTTCATAACTGGTTTTCTATCCAAGTTCTACAGATTAATATCATATAGAAGCAGTGAGATACGGGGAAAAAACAGGGTATCTTATCTTGTCCCTAGTAGAGTACTAAAATATTTTAGGAGTACAAGCAAAACTTGTTCTATCACCATTTTAAAATTATTTTAGGAGTACCCGCCGCCCCTTTTTTGTCAGGGAGTGATTAATTCAACTTTTCAATTCACCAGCATATGCAACTTTTCAAATAATTCATAGGTGCATGTTCCCAACTTTTTAGAAGATATTATATCGATTGATTAACAAATCTCAAGCTTCCTACAATATAGCCAAGCCATATTACAATTAGAAAGTGAAAATCAACATATCCTGATTGATTTTGCTTAACTTTGAGGACGGAGCCAACCTAATTCATTCTAAGAGCATCTAAAATGCAGTATTCATGAGCCATGCCGGGGGTTATAAAGCAGGTGGTTTAAAAAAAAACAGTCCTGTACCTGAAATGCGTGACTGAATATCCCCGAAAAATGACCTGGGTTCGGCTGTTGTCAATGTTCTTGTCAACCCATCTTGCCCAAGTGGCGAGTGCTTTCTTATATGCTTCCAGAACCTTGAGCCTTGGGTAGACATGGTTACCTTCTTGATAATAGTCTTCTCTAGAATACCAAAAATTTTCCAAAGAAAACGAAAAATTTTAATTGTCTGACTAGAGAAACTGAAAGGTAGAAAACAATGCATGAAAATTAAAGTTGTCAACATAACAATGATGTCTGTTCTTTCCTTCTCATAAATAATCTGCCCTTTCCAAGTAACACAATTTAAATACTTATAAATGCAAGTAACTAACTAATGATTTTTCATGGTTATGCACAACCAAAATGTAAGGCCTGATAAGATGTAATCAGATATTTGAAGAAACATTTACCCTCTAGATGTTTTCTCATGAGTCCACCAATGACCTGTATTGAAGACTATGATATCAGCATCCTGATACATAGACGTTGTCTGGTCCATCAAATCCAATCTCAGGGTTTCTATAGATCCATTTTTTCCTTTGAAAACGGATTCTCTGACAAGAAAGGGAGCAGCCACAAAGTCCACCGAACAATCGTAATCCTATCAGAATGGGAAATGGAAAGCTCATCAGAGAAGAGACAGAGGAATAAAAACGTTGCAATTCAAAACTTGCCTCGAACCGGAAAGCATAAACACCCTTCTTCTTAAATTCTCTCCTTCCAGAAATCTCATAAACTCTTTCCTTGTTTTCATTACTATGGCGGAGAAGACACACCAAAGACTCCCACATGTTCCGATTTAGGGAATCTCCCACAAAAACCAGTTTCTTCCCTCTCAATTTCTCCAGAAAATCAGTAGCGTTAAATCTGGATGCATTCAATAATCAACAAACAAGTCATAACTTTGGAAATAATATATTTCTAACTTGAAACAGTTAGCATTTCACCCAAATGCAATATACTATATTACATATAACTAGAACAAAAATTTGTCCATAGAAATCATCAAACAAAACCGGAAGACTGGTGATACTTCATACACCATAACAGCAAAGAACAGCGTTGACTAGTAGTAAAAAACAAGCTAACTTGGAACTTTTACAGATTGCAAGAGACAAAATAATAATAAACAATCATGGGTCTGCAATAAAATACGACTCACCTGCGTCGTCATCCTTTCGCCAACACAAAAATTTGATTATCGAGAACAGACGTTATATGCCTAACCTCAGATACAAAAGAACTATATCCTTGGCATAAAATTTCATGAACTCATTATCAGGTTTCGCTTCTGCTTGAGGAGAATACACTAAGGTTTCAGAAATCAGATAGAGATGATTACCTAGGGATGTCGCAACCATTTGATTGCCACTTCCATTTAGCAAATCCATCATCAGGCCTCCCATTAAGATGGCAATCAAAGTCCCGATCGATGTAAGGACAAGAGCCTGCTGGATAGTATGGCTTTGAATCATCCCTCACCCATTCACCATCAAATATATCACATGAACTGATATTTTTGTCAGTGTGATTCTTCTCCAAAGAATCCGCTTGATAACTCGTATTGCTGGATGTTTCATCTCCACCCACCTTTTCTCTGTTCGTAAAATTGCCTCCATTGTTGTTTACGGCAATCGTATTATCACCATCAAGCGAATTCTCCATAGATTTCCCTTCAGTTTTCCCCTTCGCGTGTGCCTCTTCAGTGGCAACAAGTAAGGTTCCATTATTTGTTATCTCAGAGGAATTTCCAAAGCGGATATTCTCGTCAGCTATCAGTGTATTCCCGTCAGAGCCCACGGGACTTCCATTTTTAGCAATAACTAAATCGTTTCCTTCATGGGTATTCGGCTCAATGCCGCCTTCAACACGAGAAGTTTCATGTTTAACCTCTTGAGAGAAATTTCCCGGATGGGTGTTTCCCAAAACAATCCCTTGTCCGTTATTGCCCTCGAAATCTTGCATTTGAGCAACCATTGATGTATTGACCTCTTGGATCGTCTGAACTTGCATGGCATCAGTGGCATTAGTAGAAGAAGAAGAAGAGGAAGAGGGAACAGAAAAAGGGAAACTCCATGAAGCATTAGAGGAACCAACACCAGCATTATAAAATCCCCGAAACAAAGGCACAACCAAAGGAGTCTTGAGAGAGTTACTGAAGAAAAGCAGAGTGAGGAAGATGAGAGAAACCCCAATTCCCAAACCAAATCTAGTTAACACCTTGCTCTTCGACGGCAGAATCTGATCGGAAGATGAATGCTTCTTTGAAGAATCCATGGCCAAGCATATATGAATAACACTAAAGAAAACCAACCCTTTTCAATCCTAAACCAAACAGTTAATCATTTCCAAGTGAAAAAACTTTAAAATTATAAGAAAAATATATATGTTCTTGTACACTTATGTAGACCAAAACTTAGATCATTCTTGATTCGAGACAAATAAAAAATAAAAAATAAAAAAGCCAGGAGCATATAAAATCTGTGAGGTACTAGAGAGCGGTGGGTAGGGAAAAGAGAGAGAGAGAGAGAGAGGAAGACAGTGAGCAACGGAAGTAGGGTTAAAAGTAGCCGGCCGCGGTTTTGGGAATCTATCAGTTTCTGAACAGAAGCACTTTTGGGAATTCAAGGTTAAGCCATTAATAATTTAGATTAAAAAAATTATCCAGAGTGATTCGCATGAAAGACTGGATTTTTGTTGGTAGTAGGAATGTTTTTCTTTTTAGGAATCTTAAATTTCAGATTTTATTTTATTTTTTTAAAAAAAGAATTCTAAACGTCTAGTGATTATTATGAATAAATATAGATCTTCTTGGTTAGTAGAAACATCCATGGAATGGTAATTTAGGACGAAGTATATTTCATTTTACAAATTTAATGACCTGACAAAACAATTATCCATATTGTGGGATGAGCATGTTTTTTTCTTTTTTTTTTTTTGGGTTAAGAAATTGATGGCATGGAAATTCACTTTTCACTTATTACAATTTCTTGTTTGTCCTTCTTTTTAATAACAATGCTAATTGAAATCCATTAAACGACAGTCAAAACCATTAAGTATACTATCATTCATTCATATATATATATATATATAAGCTTCCATTATTATGTAGGATATTTTATTTTTGGTACAGTTATAATTGATCTATTCACAATTCAGTTCCAATTTCCTAGATTTTCGTGTCAATTTAATTAAATTCATCAACAAATATTAAGGCTAGAGTTAACTAGCTGAATGACACATCTTTTCTTCCTATGACCTCCAAAATAATCTACAAAATCAAAGTAAAAATTCAGAACCATATGAGTTAAAAGATTATATGAAAAAAAAAAAATTTAGGATCTAACACAAAAGTCATAATAAGTATTAAAAAATTATTATTATTTAAAAATTAAAAATTTTAGTTAAAAATTTTATTATATACGTAGATCTATATTAGATGACAATAGTTAAATATATAAAAAGATAATAAGTAGATCGTTATGAAAAATATCTGATAAGATATGTGAAAATTTTTGAAAAAAATAATATATTTTTTTATATAAATTATTTGATAATATAAAATTTAATAAAATTTAATTATTATTTTAATAGTAACAAATAATAACACTATTATAAATAAATTGAACCACTACTAATAAATATTTCGAAGCTATTACTCCAACAATTATTACTCTTGACCAATATGCATAAGTTATATGTATATATACCTACAATGAGAGATCATCTCTTATCTTGCAACTTAAATTTTCAATATTCATTATGCTATTTTATTTATTATTAATACATTCATTAATTTAAACATTTTAGTGAATCTTCGATCATCTCTAAACATATATTTTGAATTATAATATGTTACAACTTTACTTAATAACTCTCCAAATTAATAAATATATCAACACTACACTAGATAGTTTAATCAACATAATTAATAATTTTTTCTATCACTTTGTCATCATCTCATTAAAAACTAATCTTATAAACTTATATCTTCACTTGAAAAGTGACAAATGAAGAAATGATCATGACAACCAGGAGAAATGCATGAGATTCTATAGAAAAAATATTTTTAAAGTATAAAGAATAAAGAATAAAGATTTACTCAAATAAATTATTATTCTTTAAAAAAGTATATGATGATATTATTCGAGTTATTAAAGAAGTCGATCAATATATTGATTCATTTAAACAACAATTATTAAATATCAAGAGATAAATATTACCACTCATTAATCAAGATCAAACCTTAAAAAAAGGACGAGCAACATCCTAGTGCATGATTATCTCAACCAAGACCATGCTAGTGATGTCAAGACACTTGAAGGTAGACACCTAAAGCAATATTTGGTGACATGTGAATAGTAATAATAACGAGGTAGTGTTAAGAAGAAGGTTGAAAAATGGAAAATAAATTGACCAACCTCAACAAGACTACCAAGACTGGGTAGTGCAACCAAGAACAAGAGTTGTGAGCTTGAGACCGAGCTTATTGACAGTGATCTATATAATCTAAAATATAGCAATTAATCCTCTTTCTTTGGAATTTAACGGAAGAGTATATTCAATATAAAATTTAGTTGTCATATCTAAATATTTATATGGAGGCGAAAAATTTCACATAACAAGTAAACTATTATAAGAACATTGTTAAGTTTTAAAGTGCAACAAAAATAATATTTTATAAAGGCTTTCTCTACTAAAATAGTTTTAGACACTCAAGTCAATGAATATATCATGGATCCTCCCGCACCGTCAGTCGACATCAGTGCCACCGACGTGACTTCCTTCGGTGATGAATCAGCAGAAAAAATCCGGCGAGTCAACCTCTTATAACCTAAGAAATGGCATATGGAATAAATCTTTTGATATTTTTAATAAATAAATAGTAAATCTGAACTAAATTCCAAACAAATTTTTATAATAAAGCGTCAGTTTGAACTAAATTTAAATCTAAAAAAAATTTCGGAGGTGATTATTAATTCTTTTTAATAAAGACTTTCAGATACATATCTTTTTCTTCGGCAATTTTGCAACATCTCGCGAACTGTAATAAAAAATGTAGCCGCCTGCTGCCAACAAAATGATTGTTAGACACGTGACATAAGCACGCATCTAACTCTAATTACGAGTGATGAGTCTCAGGGCACGCACTACTCTTTCCCTTATAAAACACATTCGACATACACTGCTAATAGATTTATTCTAATTTCACCACGTGTCAACATTTATAGAGATAGATGATTTGATAATAATATCGGTGGCAGGAGCATGCTACTTTGCTTACATTGAATGCTTCCGTCTTTTCCCTTTCATATTTTTGCCTAATGATGCCTATAGCGTGCAGCTCAAGCAATCATTCATCCACATGCATCAAAACTACGTCGTTTCTACTTCATTCAAAATATTCTTCTTTTTAGTTTTTTTGTAGTCATCTTTATTAATAAAAATTGTATCTCTACTTCATTAAAATTTCTTTATGAAAATTCCTCAAAATTTTTTTGTAGAACCACAACAATCAACTGAATTACATTTCTTTCCACAAAAATACTTATACATGGCTTTCCCCTCTTTTCTTTTTACTCTTTACAGATGAATACGTGCATTTGACAATGGCAGATTGCTTGTTTTAAAGCTCTACAACTAAATGATGTGAAGTGATGATAGTAGTTATAGATTAATGTCACCTAGGGCCAGAAAGTTCCATGGCTTCCACCACAAGTGAAGACTCTTCTATGAAATCTAAGTATCTTTGAGGAGGGTTTTCTAAGGATCGGAATCTGGGTGTCTCAACCTTCTGTGAGGCCTCCCATTTTTCAGCTAAACCATCACCTTCTAACATCCTTAAGACTTCACACATCTTCGGTCGATGGGAAGGATTAAATTGTGTACATAACAGGGCAACCTGAACCATTTCTTCCAATTCAACCTCGTCAAAATTGCCCATTAGATCCTTGTCCACCAGAAGGTTCAACTTTCCTTCATGATGGAGCTTCTTTACCTGCATAAAAATGGAAGAGAAAAGTTAATCGTAAATGTGAATTAGAACATTCCTCTATGTTGATTGAATAACTTTCTTCAGTCTCTTGGTAAATAGGAAACTGTATAATAACGTATTAGCAAATCAAGTTGCTGGTTTGTGCAAAGTTTGGAGCAAGAGAATGTACCCAATCAAGCATAACACCTTTCTGGTTTGCTGCTCGTCCAAAATCTAAGGCTCTCTGACCAGTTATCAGCTCAAGAAGCAAGATCCCAAAACCAAAGACATCAGTTTTTTCTGATGACTGACCTGTCGACAAGTACTCAGGGGCAATGTGGCCAACAGTGCCACGCACAGCTGTAGTCACATGGGAATCTCTGTGATCCAAGAGCTTGGCTAACCCAAAATCTCCGACAACTGCCTCAAAATCTTCATCCAACAAGATGTTGGCTGCTTTGACATCACGGTGGATAATCTTGGGGTCACACTGTTCATGCAGATAAAGTAGACCTCTAGCTGTACCCAAGGCAATCCTCTTACGCCTTGTCCAGTCTAAAGCTGGCCTACTATTGATATGATCTGATGCCAAAAGAAAAAAGCCAAAGAATGGCCATGTTATTATATGAACCGAATTTGAGGTAGTATGATTTGAGTATGAAAAAGAAATCATACTAGCAGACAAAATATTTTAATTCATTTGCAAGCTGTAGGAAACTCGAATATCTGAGTGCTTGTAAGATTTTGAGTTTGGCCAAAACAGAAACGGGCATCAACAAGTTAACAAGAATGATGGAAGGAGTCAACTAAAACCATCCATGTCAAACAAGCAGGAGTCTTTTCATTTGGGTTATTAGCATAAAGTTATGAGATGGTCATGAAGTGACTAATATTCCTTTACTTTTATGTCTATAGATTTCTGAGGATGGAATCTGCAGACTTGTAGGAAGTTATGGAGGTTTGGATAAATTTTGGGTGAGAGAAAAAATTCCCAGATTTTTGGACTAGTAAGAATTATTAGCAGCTAGAAGTGCATTGACAAACCTCGTAAGCGGGAAGCTACACTTCCATTTGGCATATAAGGGTAAACAAGCAGCCTTTCATTCTCAGTAGAGCAAAAGCCACTGAGCCTAAGAAGGTTGCGATGAACTGCTAAACTTATAGTCTCCACTTCTGTCTGAAATTGGATTTCACCACCTGCTATATTGAAGTCCTTCAACCTTTTAACAGCCACCAAATTTCCATCATTCAAGCACCCTTTGTATACAATGCCAAACCCACCTCTTCCAAGAATGTTTTTTGAGTTGAAATGGTCTGTTGCAGCCCGAAGCTCCTTAAATGTATACCTCTTCAAATGGCCCAATCTTACATCAGGGTCATATTGATCTGCCCAAGAATCAAGACTCAGAAAGCAGGGATAATAGAAGCAAAACAAGGAAAGTAACAAATTAAAAATAATGCTTTTGCCTTCAACCTTAAAACAATCAAATGCACCCTTTCATGACTTATCCAGAAGTAACATATATTTCTTTGTCCATCTTATTGATAACTAAATTATTTATTCTTCTGAAATCAGAAGTATCTGTACGAAACTAAAGTCAGCTTCTTCAAATATTGTTCTTACTGAATTTAAAAACTTTCAAGCAGAATCCAACTGCCAATTAGCAATCCAATTTTAAACAAATTAAAAGGGAAAAACATCAAGAAGTATTCTGATAGTAGGTCAAATAGAATTAACGTTATCTAGGATCTGATTCTTTCTAGGAATTTGAGGATTTTCAGTTTCATTTCCTTTCCTTATTTGATTGCTACTTTGCCTGCATTGTTAATTTTACTACTGGCTTCAGTACATTTCTCCTCCTGGCATTCTCTTCCATTCTAACTTTTTTCTTCTCTTTCCTCTCTCATACTTCTCTTTGTCTCCCATTCTCCGTTATTATTTCCTCTTCTTGTCCCATATAAATGTTAGTACCATCACTAAAATGCGAGAAAAACTTCTGGAACTGTAGAATGTTTGCCAAAAGAAAAGCATGTCTAATTATTCATGTGCATACCTGCAGAATCTAGAAATTAAAATTTCAAACCAAGCAGGATACTCAAGAAAAAACCCACAAAGACAACCATAGCACAACAAATGAACTAGAACTCCCAACTCTCAAAGATGAAAACAACTACTGCTTACACCATAAAACTCTCATTTCAAAGCAAGAAAAAAATACCAAATATAAAAAGAAGACTAAATTTAAAGGACTAACCATTGACATCAAAGAATATCTGCTGATTGTGTCTATATCGCCACCAAAAAAATAAACCAATAAGAAGTATGACGAAAAAAGCAGCACCAAAACTTGCACCAAAAGCAACAACAACATGATGGCCATTTGTTCCAGAATCTGATGCAGCTAAGAAAACAAAGATAAAAGTTCATAAATGTCATCAAATTTCCAAGCATAGAACTTTGAGAACAAAAAATTAAACCTGCAAAGAGAAAAACCTCTTACCATCTGGTGGGAGTGAAAGAGGCTCCGGGAAGACAGCAGAACAGTTGTCGCCGGCCTTGGGCCCACAGATTAAAGGATTACCAACAACTCTGGGGGAAAAAGAATGCACCACTTTTCAATAAATAATATAGTAATAATTTACATGGATGGCTTCTCTCAAAAAACAAAAGACTTTATTTGCATGGCAGATTTAAGATAAAAGAAATATCTTACTTGAATGTTCTTGCTGATATTTTCGGAATGGTACCACTCAGATTATTGTATGAAAGATCCCTGTGTGCATATTTTACTTCTAATGGTGAATAAGAATTAGATAAAATCACCAGCAATTTACATATTACTTCTAGTTACATGGTAAACCATGGACAAAAAGATGGAAAACATACACAAGTGTGAGACCTTCAATGTTGGACAGAGACTCAGGGCAGGATCCAGTAAGGCTGTTGTTATTTAAACGCCTGACTTAGTACAACAAAGTAACAAGAAAGGCTTAGATTTTGCGCTGGACAGTCAATATAAATCAATAAGAACAATGTCTATGGCAAGATATGTTTCCTACAATGAGAAAGCAGCTTGCAGAATCTTTGGTAAGCGGCAAACACCCTGAAACTTACAAATAATTAAGGTTCTGTAGTGCTCCCAAGGAGGTTGGTATTTCTCCAGTAAATAAATTGTTCGAGACATCAAGCGTTTGAAGTTTTTCTAACTTCCCAATTGTATCCGGAATAGGACCAGAAATAGTATTATTTTGGAGCAATCTACAAATAGATGTTAACAGAATCATATATAAAGAATATTAAGTGAACTTGAAACTTCTAACTTATCACTACTGCAAAATAAAGGCAATCCTTGTCAACAAATTAATAAACAGAGGAGACAACAAAGCCAACTTAAAACAAGAAGCAGAAATGAGATGATCGCTTACACTGACTGCAAGTTTGTAAGGTTTCCAATCCCTGGAGAAAGAGTCCCGGACAAGCTCAGACTAGGAAGTCCCCTGTTTATGGGGTAAAGAATCATCCACTCAAAAAATAGGCTTCAAACACTAAGCAGATGGTTTTCATGAAGCCTTCACCTTCATGCAAGATTAAACACAAGAAACAGATAGAGAGAGCTAAGAAACTTACAAAGCGGAAACATAGCCATCAGCCGAACAAGTAACCATACTCCAGCTACAAGGGTCCACAG